TCATCCCGAACTGTTAAGCGTCATTTTATTCAGTGATGAGGCGTCTTTTACCCTGGATGGTGTAAATAATTTACGAAATGTGCATACATGGTTCCATAATAATCCACATAAGATAATGGATACAAAATTCCAAAAGAGATTTTCCGTGGATGTACGTTTAATACAGTTATGTAGTCTGTTTATACCAGTATGCGCAGTCAGCCATATTACGTCAGCGCTTGCCAGTCATGTGTCATGTATAGTGCTTGGAAACCCTAAGGACAATTATGACATGGCGAGCGAGTATTTTGTACTTCAATTTTATGGCTTCATGTCACTCACAAGTTAGTTTGATGTTACGTACATTATTAACATTACAGAATCCACATATTCCTGCCAGTTTTAATATGTATTTTGTAATCAACAAGTGTGTAACAGCGGTCAAAGTTTGACACTTCTCTGGCCATTATCTCTGTAACCGTTCAACTTTGGACATAGGTGTTTTGGGTTATATCGGCATACTTTAACATAAGGAACACCCTCCCGAAGTTTGGTCCATTCCTCCTGGGACACCCTGTATATATATAACGTTAAGATATTGACAATGCAGTGATGCATAATTGTATATCTTGGTTACCTGATGTAAGATTAATTTGCTGATTGTCCACATTTTCTTGTTGCAGCTCAAGGCATTGGGGTTTCCTGAACACCTTGTGATTCAAGCATACTTTGCCTGTGAAAAGAATGAGAACATGGCAGCCAACTTTTTACTATCCCAGAATCTTGATGACTGAAAGGAAGCTTTGATTTCATTTGTAACACAAAACACACACAGTCACTTGCTCGCAAAGAACATAAAAGTGAGAAGTGAACTGCTGAAGGGACTACATAAATACAGATTCCTCCCTATCCACAGTGAATGAAGAAATCTTTAAGGCAGTTAGACTGTCTGGGTTTACTCAATTATTAATATTGTGCAGTGCACTCTGTGCATTGGTCATAGACTACATTAAAGTCCAAACTTGAGTACCACGTTAACCTAAGACTTTATGAGATCATGCGTATTAACACATACTTTATTTATGATTTCACATGAGAATTGTGAATCTGCTCCCATTTTTTTTTTTTTGGTTGTCAGACTGAAAATGAAATAACAGTAAGGCAGAAGTTGGAACACTGGATTGTTCTGATGTGTGGAATTAATTTCCTGTCATTAGAGAGTAAAGTAAATGCAAAGAATATTTGTTACTAATTATAGTATGATGTGAGCACAGAGTTCATGATGGTGTCTTTCCTTTTAAATTGGAATACCAAGTCACTATTTCAATATACAGTGAACTGTTCAGTTTGTAAATCTTTCCTATGTAAATAGCTCACAGTAATACATTTTTACCCACAACCAACCATTTGTCTGAATATTTTATCATTGTGTAGCATGAAAGCAGGAGGGAGGGGAACATTGGAAATATAAAATATCAGAAATTTAAACCACTGCAGCTTGTTACAACTAACATTTTTCTTAGTTGAAAAAGGACTTAAAAATAAAGAATTTCTGAGTTGACTGATTTTATGCACTGATACAGTGTTTTCTTGAAACCAAGTGATTTTGTTTAGCTCTAAGAATCCTGTTTTATTATTTTGCCTTCATCCTCATTTTCCTTACTTCATCGTAGTAATATATATATATAAGCTGTGTGGTGCAGAGGAAATAAATGAATGTTTCCTTTCACCCGTTATATTTAAACAGGTTTTAAATCTCAGAATTACCTGATTTTTGGACATTGTTGATTGTCCTGTACTGTAAAAACTAGAGAACACAGCACTTTGCCTACCTCAATCACTGGATTGAGGTTAGCTCTGTCTAAGGGACCCAACAGAGTGTCTCCCCCACCCTCACCTAAGGATGGAAACAGATCCAAAACGTTGTAGTCTTTATTTTTTTAGAATACTGGACAATGGACAAAGTCCAAAAGCCCATAATTTCAAGTGTTATACACCATCATCACAATCTACAGGTCTTAAATATTGAAAGCAGTGTTTCTGACTTTTACTTTTTCAACCGTAAGCAGGTATGCCATTTGGTGATGAAGAACAAGGAATAAATATTAGTTTGTGGCAACCAGAAGAGTGTTGTGTATACATGATCATTAGAATAAGGTTATAGTAAAGAGGTACATGCTGGATTAAAACAACTAATGAAATTCCATATGCCCGTTCTTTATTGATATATTGGTCAACCCAAAACTTAGGGACATTAGTAAATTGTTTTTAACAGACTTCTGTGAAGCATATTTTTTTTTTGTAGGCATGTGGATCAGATATTAGACTTCATTTTATAGAGACTGTTACGATATGTCTCAGGTTTTTTAGGATGGTAGAGAGTTTGTGAATTTCGTGTACAGGAACAACAGTAACAAAAAAAAACTTCTCTAAAGATGTTTATCTGTGCAAAGAAAACATTGTAGAAAATGGAGTAAAGGGAAATTTTGGGTTCACATTACAAGTAACATGCAACCAGTTCGCTTTTGATAATGTCTTGATTTTGAAAATTTTTATTACTTACCTGATTACAACTCATGTTTAATCCTTTTTTTTTTTCTTTAATGTGTATTTCCAGTTCATGTGATGCATATTGTTCCAGATTCAACTGTAATATAGCACTTCATATTTCTGTTCATTATGTTCTGGATAGTCTCGAAGATCACATTAAGCGGAGGAACTGTTTTGGAAGAGACTGTGGACCTGTCGTCTGACAGATTACTGATGAATGAATGAAACGTGTGTTAAAATCATTAGTCTTCTAGATTTCCCTGTGCATTATAGGACAATGCTCAAAGTTGATAAATCATAGAAGAAAAATAATTGGGTGAGTAGGTAACCCAAAGCAGTACATCAGATAGCACAATATATAATTACTTACTTACTCATGGAGCTGAGCCCTTCTGGAGAAGCTGCCAATTCTGCAGCTACTCAAGAATTTCCCAGCATTTTATAGAACCTGAAGGTTCATTACCGTGTTCACAAGAGCCCTCCACTGGTCCCTATCCTGAGCCAGATCAATCTAATCCATACCATCCCATCCCATATCTCTTTAAGATCCATTGTAATATTGTCCACCCACTTATGCCTTGGTCTTCCCAGTAGTCTCTTTCCTTCTGGCTTTCCCACCAATATCCTATATGTATTCCTCGTCTCTCCCATTAGTGCTACATGCCCTGCTCATCTCATCCTCCTTGACTTGATCATTCTAATTATACTTGGAGAAGAGTACAAGTTATGAAGCTCCTCATTGTGCAGTTTTCTCAAACCACATGTCACTGCATCTCTCTTCAGTCCAAATTCTCCTCAACACCCTGTGCTCAAACACCCTTTAGTCAATGTTCCTCAATGTCAGAGACAAAGTTTCACACCCATAGAGAACCACAGGCAAAATTATAGTTTTGTATATTCTAATTTTTATGTTTTTGGGACAGCAGACGAGAAGACAAAAGGTTCTGGACTGAATAGTAGCAAGCATTACCTGAGTTCAATCTCCTCTTAATTTCCTCCTTAATCAGGTTTTGATTTGTTATCGTCATTCGCAAATATCTGAACTGTGCCACATTTTCAAAACATCTGTTTCCTATATTTATGTCATGATTTTGCCCTGCATTTTGGTGACGAGACAGCAAACATACTTGGTTTTCT